AACAATTATTTCTGGTTTCTGGTTAAAAATGCCCATTAGGGAAAAGGGACTTGTTTAACAACCAATGTTCGCTTAATGACCACAAGGTTCACTTAACGACCATGGTGTTTGCCTAACCCAGGGGTCTTCAACCTTAAATACTCAAAGAGCCATTTTTCTATTTTTTTAAACAGATTTCTCTGTATGTGTCTCTTTCTTTCTCTCCCCCTCATCTCTTTTTTCTTTCTCCCCCTCTTTTTCTCATCTCGCTCTCTCATTTTTCTTTTTCTTCCTCTCTCATTTCTTTTTCTTTCTCCCTCTCCCTCTTTCTCATCTCTCTTTCTCTCATCTCTCCCCCTCTCTCTGTCTCTTGTCTCTCTCTCTCTCTTTCCTTTCCTCCCTCCCTCCCTCTCCTTCTCCCTCTCTCTGTGCTTGGGAGGGGGGGAAGGAATATCTGAACTGGTGCTGGATGGTGGGAATCTGACAAGCCAGTACTGAAGACCATATGGTGGGCAGAGAGGGGAGGCAATCCCGCAGTCGCCCCCAAAATATTGCTTCTGGGGAGGAGGGAACTTGGTGGGTATCTGGGGGCGGCGAGAGCTTCACGGCTCCTGAGAGGGTCGCACCTCCCTGCTCCCAACATCTTCACAAGGGCATCGCTGGCAGCTGCTTCCTGCTTCTCTGCAGCCATGCTGCTTCCCTCCTCCTTCTTGGCCTCATACATACAAACACTCATACATCTCACGGTGCTGGAGGGACTCACCCACGTGCCGACTCCTTGCAGAAGATCCTCCTGGTGCCACGTGCGCACACTCTACCCAAGGAGGAGAAGGGTTGCCAAACTTTTCTTCCTTCCCTTCGAAGCATAGCTGCTCGGAAGGCAGCTCCTGTGGCCCGACTGTCCCTTTATGGTCCCCACTCACCCCACCTCACCACACTGAAGTACCTTAAAGGGACAGGCTGCCTTCGTGCTGCGGAGGGAGGAATAAAAGTTCGGCAACTCTTCTCCTCCTTCTCGGGCCTACACACAGAGCGTGCCCTGCACAAATTGTGCATGCATGGCGCCAGAGAGACTTGCCTATGCACAGAAGGTCACAGACTCACGTATCCATGCTCTGTGTGAATGCCTGAGAAGGAGAAGACTTGCCAAGTTTTTCTTTCTCCCTCTCTTCTGACATATACTGGCCAGGCAGGTGAGCAGTGTCACGTGGGGCAAGCGTCCTCCCAGCCGGCGCAGCCATGGGGCTCCGACCTCATACAAATGCAAGTTTACAGACACCTCAGGATTCCAGGCTTTGGCTGCAAGAACTGCAGACAGCCTTCCCCACCACACACTTCCTCCTCCCATGGCCCCATGTGAGGCAGGAGGCCTGACAGAAAGCACCTGGTCCAAAGACACGGTCCTCCATGACGGAGCCCTTCCCGGGGAAACAAAGCACGAACTTACTGATCCATCCCGTAGGGGAGCTCCAGAGTGGTGGCAGCGCTCTGGGAGGATGGTCCTTGGGGCCCTGGGAAACCGAATTGTGCAGCACAGCAAAATTTACTTTAGCAACTGGGAGTTGCTGCTTTGGGTTCTGCAAGTGCTCTCTCTTCGGCTCCTGGTGGAAGAGAGGAACAGGATTCAACCTGGCTCTTTCTCTGCCACCCAGAGCTGTTTCCTGATGAGACCTGCAGGACCCAAAGCTAAATTTCGCTGTGCTGGGAAAGAGACCAGCAGGGGAGAGAAGCAGCTGCTGACCCCGCTGGATCCAACATGAGCCTCTCCACATGTTCTCCTGCTGCTTTTGCTGGGAGAGCGACAGAGTCTTTCTTGCACAGCGATAAGCTATATTTCGCTATGCCAAGAAAGACTCTCTCGCTCTCCCAGCTAGGCCAGCAGGGGAGAGAAGCAGCCGCTGACCCGGCCGGAGCCGACACAGAGCTGCTCCACGTGTTCTCCTGCAAAGGAAAGTCGGGGTGGGTGGGGTGGGAAGGTGACTAGCAGCGACAGGTACAGGTGATCAGGGCTTGCTTGCGGAGCCTCACTCACCGATCGTGAAGGCAGGCAGCAATGGCTGGTGTGGTAGGTGGGCAAAAGCAGGCTGCAGGCCAGCCATGTCACACAGGCGCAATAAGGACTGATTGGGTGGGAAGAGGAGGGATGGGCGGAGAGGGGCGGGGCCAGCCAGGGGTACGATTTGTCGGTTCTCCAAACTGCACAGAATCATAACCACCGATTCTATAGAACAGGTCCGAACCAGTAGAATTCCACCCCTGGATCCAGGTCATTAAGAAGTCCAATTTTTAAACTGCTGAAATATCTTAAGAGATAAATTGCTTTATGTACTTTCAGTCTACAACTGGTAGCAACATTAAATATATTAATTCATTATAATTGTCTCTCAATAGCTGCAACAGAAATTATGAGTTTTCCCATATGTGGTGCTAAATGTGTCAATACTTTAAATATATCAATATATTTAATATATCCGAACAAAATGCTTAACAGTCCAATAATGAGGATCCATTTGACATTTCTGTTGTATTAGTCCACATCTAATAAATCTGATTGCCATCAGATTATCTAACTAATGTTATGTAGAGCCCATGAAATGATCACTGCACAGTGTTTGGCTTCAGGGTTTAATGACTATGGCCTAGATTTCCTGATAGTTCATTGGCAACTGTGGCTGGTATCTTCAAACATAAAATGTTCTGCTACATAGACCACACACAGCTGAGCAGATGGGATCCTATCTGTACAGCCAGGGGTCTTGACTGCTGATTGACCTTTGGCCAAGCCGGTTTCCAACTACTGCAGGTTGATGAGGGCTGGTCTCTGACTGGTTCTTTGTGTTTGATCCTGATTGTTTTGCTGGTGTTGGTTCCTGACTGGTCCTTTGTTCATACCAGCTTCTGACTGGTCATTTTGGAATGCTGAGTCCTGATTGGTTCTTTGTTTGTGCTGACTTCTGGTTGGCTAGTCGTGTCTGGGACTTTGTCCAGGCAAATGTCTGATTTTAACATTTTGGGGAGTTGACACTTGCTTCGTCCTGCTTTGGGGATGATCTTGCCATGGCACAGGACAGGTAACCAGGCTTTGTTAACTTTCAGGCTTTCTTCTTTTTTGATGAAGCTGTTAGGATGCTTATAGATCTCAACAGCCTCTCTGTGCAGGTGTATATAATAGTCTGAAGCCTTTGTTCATGTCTTTGAACTGAATTTTATTACCTGTATGGCACAATGCATGTTCTGCTACTGATGGTTTTGGGGGGCTGTTCTTGTCTGCAGTGCCTCTCATGCATTTTGTGGTACCAATGTACATCTGTCCACAGCTAGAGGATACTATAGATACAGAATGCTACAAAGAGTTCTCTGATTTTCTGATTTTCTTAATTGGTCTGTAGATATTTTAAGGTTGTAATTTTCTAATAATTTACCTGTTTGGTCAGGGCATTTGTTTATTTATTTTATTTACCTTTCACATTTTTCTGCCACCCATCTCCTTCAAAGAAGGACTCTGGGCGGTGTGCAGTAAAATGCTAAAATATAAAACAGTATAAATAAAAGTTTTAAAAAATTAAGAGGAGGCCAGAAATTAAAAATCAGTTAAAAGCGAAGGGAGGGTTTTCAGGAAAGTAACTAGACCCATAGATGCATTCTCCCCTGGGCTCCCGCATGTGAGATTGCAGAGACAAGTCTTAACTCCTTTTCAGAAGGCCAGGAGGATGGGTGGCTGCCTCACCTCCAAGGGAAAAATATTTCATAGGATAGGGGCAACAGCCAAAAAGGCTCTCTTCCTAAACCCTGCAAGTTGGAGTTCTTTGCCTGACCTGGTGGGATGGGCTAATGTAATAGGACAAAGATAGTTCCATATGTATCCTGGCCCCATTCCATGTAGGGTTTTATAGCTTAAAATCAACACCTTGAATTGGTCCCAGAAGCAAACTGGCACCCAAAGCAGCTCACTGAATAGAGGTGTTACATATATCTTTCTAAAATCTAGGTACCTAAAATTTCCCCTGCAACCACATTTCATACCAGCTGGAGCTTCTGGATACATTTCAAAGGTAGCCCCATGTAGAGAGCACTGCAGCAGTCCAAATGGGAGATAACCAGAGCATGAGTGACCTAGCAGAGAGCGTCCCTGTCCAGGAAAGGGTGTAACTGGCACACAACGGAATGTTGAATAAAGCCCCTCCTTGCCAAGGGTGCCAGTTGCTCTTCGAGAAAGAGCCATGAGTCTGGAAGAACCCAAGATTATGTACCAGATCTACTTGGGATACTGCAATTGCATTCAAGACCAAAGAAGATAAACTCCTGGATACAGAGAGGCTCACTCATAGGCACTCCATCTTACCAGGGTTCAGCTAAAGTCTGTGGTTCTCCATCCAGGCCTCCATGACTACAAAAGAACATCCACTGCATCACTCACTTCACCTGGTACAGAGATATATTACCTACCTTCTCCATGTAGGGAGAAATACTCTTCCTATTGGTAGCAGTTTGTTCACAGATGCATCTACTAAACACAGATGCTAGCCAGGAAAATCTATACCTCTAGATAGATTACACTCATATAGTAATAAACAATCAGCTCTCTAAACATCACTCTGGAAAAAATTTAAGAATAAAAGTATTTTAAACTAGAGTTTAAAATGAGTATGTAGTGTTTCTTTGCTGTAGAATACAAGCAATTACTCTTCTAGAATTGAACACATATTTATAGTCACTTTTCTGGTTATATAGATTTCTAATTGTTTTTAAGTAATAAAGCTTAGCAAACTAGTTTAAGGCAAATATTGGCAGCATCTCTCTCTCTCTCTCTCTCTCTCTCTCTCTCTCTCTCTCTCTCTCTCTCTGTGTGTGTGTGTGTGTGTGTGTGTGTGTGTGTGTGTAATTGTATCTATGACTTCCTTATCCTCAGCTCATTTATACTTCCACGTTTATTCCCATTGATAATCTCCCTTCATTTTTTTTTAATCCTGGCTTCCACCTTGTGATTAAAACATTCTTGTTTCCCACCTCATATGACTCACCTGTTGGATTCCACCTAGCTTGGCTCACCAAATGATCATCTGTCATACTGAAGTCCTGATGTTGATCAGCCATCCTATCAGAAAGGTCACCTTGAAAAAGAGAGAGAGAGAGAGAGAGAGAGAGAGGAGAGAGAGATGGAGTATTTAAAACAAAAACACTAACTTCTTTGGATAGCATCCACCTTAAGTTTTATAATATAGTTGGTACTGTTTTAGTGACCACTCATTCAACAATTGTTCCAAGCTTCAATGGCGCAAAGCAGGAGACTTACAACTGGTCCTTGAGGTTGTGGTTGTCACAATGTTCCCAAAGTCATATGATCATGATTCAGGCACATGGCGACTGGCTTGCATTTATGATGGTTGCAATTGTTCCACAGGCACACATTGCCATTTGCGACTTTCCTTGCCAGTTTCCCACAAGTTGGAAGCAGGGAAGATCACAAATTGCTTCTAAAAGTTTCTCCTGCCACTTTTTCTCCAGAGGAATCCCCAGGCTGCAGGATATGTGGGGGCTCTGGGCCCAAGTGCACTTGTACCACACCGCCCAGCGCCCACTATACCCCACACTCTTATGCTAGGTCACCCACTCCTCTGTGCCTCATAAAACACAAAATAATTAATTTTAAAATAGTTTGTTAACAAAATTACCAAAATAATAGATGACTGCAAAGAAAAACAGAATGAAAGAAATTTAAAGCATCCAATTTAAACTTTACTATTTTTTTTCATCACCAGAATCCAAAACAGGTTGATAAATCCTCTTTTTTCCACAGCAGCATTCTTCCAGGGAATGTAAGGTAGGTGATAAATACAGCCAAAAATACTGGAACCATCCATTTTCCTTCTGACACTTCCTTTGTTATCTTTAACAGCTTTCTATCCCTCTCAAACAACGTGTTGAAGAGAAGGAACTGGTAGTTTCCACAGGATACCTAAATTATTTGTTGCAAATGATTTTTAAAAATATGAAAATAGCCTTAAAAGACTCATTCCTGATCTAAAAATTCAATCCAGAAATTAAAACAGCTGCTCCAACCTGCCCAGAATCACTTTCTGGGAGAGATAGGCAACATAAAAATTTAACAAATAAAGGCTATTGGTTAACTAGATTACAACACCTTCAATATATTGCAGCATTTGTAATTAAAAATAAAGTTGAGAAAACCAAGGGAGGGGAAAAATTATGGAGAAAATATTAAAACAGTAATAAGATATGGAATAGAACACAAAGATGAATATGAAATTGAGTTTGTGTCTGTATGAAGAAGTGATAACCCGGGATCATGCTATTCTCAAAAAAAAAGATGTTTTATTTGTATTATTTTTTTGTGAAAACCCAAATAAAATTTATATTTAATATATTGCAGCATTTGTTTTCTCTACTCTAAATATTATTCTATGCATTTGAACACATTGTCTTTCGAAGTATATATATCCCTGATACAAGCTGCCTTCCTGACAATACACAAAACATTACCAAGGTTTGTATTAATTTACTTTTGTCAGGAAAACCCTAGTTGGGATCAGAACTTCCATTGCTAAATGAAGCAGTCAATGGACAAAAACATCCTGTGAAAACATGCTCAGTAATGGAAGTTCAGTAGTCCTGAGGTGAGGGCCTGACCCTGTTTCTGTGTTGTGCAAACTGCCTGCTCCATCCCACTGCCCCCTCCCCCTCCCAGAAAGGATTAGTGTCCTTTGGCTGATGAGCCTACACTGCTTTACTGTACTCTCAATTCCCCACTTATCTCCTCCCATCTCTGCCCTTTTAGCCATTCTGCACTTTGCTGCTGCCATATGTCCATGCCACTTCCAGGAGACCTTCATCATCTTCTCCTGCTGCTCCTGGACATTTGTGATACCTTCCCCAAGTGCAAGCAGCTCATTCAGCTGGGTACATCTCATCAGAAGCTGGAAGAAGATGGCAAAGAACACCTGGGGGCATCAGTGGGAGTAGAGGTGGCAGAGTGCAAGGCCTGAGCCATGTGAAGGGTTAGCAGCTGCCTCAGCCAGGTCCGCTTCCTCAGCAGTTGGGAGAAAAAAAGATGGGGAAGGCCAGAAAGAGATGGCAAGGGCAGGGGACTGCAGGCGGCCAAAAGAGCAGAGGTGGGAGTTAGATAGGCAAGGGGAGAGTTGAAGACCATGCTGTGGTTGAAAGTGTAGGCAGGCTGCTAATTGCCCGAGTTGCGCACCCATGACCGAGGGGTGCTGCAATGGCCATAACTTCAAGGACCAGTTGTAACTAGCATTCTTTTAGCCCCGTGGTAACCCTGAACAGTCACTGAATGATTATTACGTGAGGGTAGCCTGTAACAAGATTTATAGATTAGAAACAGACTTTCACTGAAAATAAGCCAATGTAAAAGTATTTATCACAGATTTAAATTGGCCTTCTTTATTCTATTTTCAAATGGCATGCTATTTGACATCGAAGCCTTTGAAAAGTTTTGTAATTTATCAGGTGGAAATAAACATGCCTCCACATATACTGTCCAGAAGAGGGTTTTCTAATCTCTAGAAACTTTGCCCTATATGAGATTAAATAGCATACTGTATAAAATAAACTATGAAAATAAACAATGAACTTAATGGACAGTAACAAGCGGCGATTCTTGTATGACCCTGAGGCGTGACATATAACTTGACCACAAGAGGGCAATATAGGAATTAATTAATTCACTTTTACCCCATTACTCTTTGACTTTGTTTCATAACTTTTTTTTGGCTATCTGGTCAGCAATAGTAATTCAGAAAGACATGCCACCTTTGGGATGGTGAAAGCAATTAATAGCATTGTAAACAGATACCCCAGACTGATTTATCATTATGAAATAGTATGTTAGACGGTTTTTCAATTTTCCCTTTCACCACAAAGAAAAGCCTTGAAGAAGCATGTAAGTTGGTGAATGTCACAAGGGAGAACTGCTGAATATCCCAAAGATTGGTTGAATATGACTGATGCCTCACTGTCCCCATTGAGCCATTTTGTAAATGTAAAAGGTTTATTGCTTCTTCTTCTAATAGTAAATTCACATCTCCCAAAGAAGTTGTTGATGCTCTCTTCCCCTTCCCCACATAATCTACAAAAGCACTATTCCCCCCTCATCTTATATAAAAAAGGTCATTTTTCATGCCCTCTCAAAATCTTTGGGGAAAAAGTACTTTGAGTTGCTGCCTGCACTATACCCTTTAAAGTCCCTGATGCACAGATGTAACCATACATTTAAGTAACTACACAAACTCTTTAAAAATACTTAAGGAGGAGAGCACATTTTTCGGTCTAATCTATTTATCAAATGTTTGGGTGGTGAAAATTCTCCACCTTGTCATCCACAGACAGATCTTTCCAGTTTGAAGTGATAAGGACCCTTTAGAGTTTATCTGTAACCACCCTCTTTCTCACATTGCTCCCAGACCAATGTTATCTGGCAAAAAGTCTTGGAAGTTATTCTTTGGATAATTTCCCAGACAGCAAGAATTCAATTTGTTTGAATATATCTAGAAGAAAACTGTCCTCCAGATACTTTACATTTTTGCCCAACTGTCAGCCTTCCAAAGTAAACCACACAGGAAATGGATGAATTAATTCTATTTTATTGCAAAGCTACATTACCAGAATCTTGCAAATCTGAAAGTACAAACATCCCATAAGTTTTAACTTTCTTATCCATTAGAGTGGGTCCTTTCTCAATTTCTTTTTATGATTGTTAAGTGATTATGCTTTTGGTTGTCTACAGCTTACTTTGGATTTATTTATTCGTCCCCACAGAAAGTAGCAGCTTCCCTGTTGCTTCAGACACTAAGCAAGATTAGCCAGGACTATAGCTTAGATTGGGAAGCCCAAAAATATTCTGGAAAAAAGTCATGATAAACCCCTGCCTATTGCTGCTAGGAAAAACATATGGGCATGTTCATGGATCACATTCAGCTTGAAACTGTCTTTACTATTACCTTTTGAGAATATACAGATTTGCTAGAATGAGAGAAAGGAAAGAAGGAACATCTTCTTTCGCTAGAATGAAAGAAGGGAAGAAGACAAGGCTGTATCGTAAGGATTTGGTATGAGAACTATCAGTAAGGTAATGCAGAGTACCTCCTCTCATTTTATATTTCGGATGGAGGGTGGATAGGTGGATGATTTATGATTATTTTTGACACTTATGCAGCCAGCCCCATGGTAACATGATCAGAATTCAGATGCTTGGCAACTGGTTCATATTTATGATGGTTGCAATGTCCCAAGGTCATGTGATCACTTTTGGCGGTCTCCTGACAAACGAAATTATTGGGGAAGCCAGATTCACTTAACAACCATGTTACTAACTTATCTGCAATAATTCACTTAACAACCATGGCAGGAAAGGTCTTAAAATGAGGCAAAATTCACTTAAGAATTATACTTAGCAACATAAATTTTGGGCTCAATTGTGGTCGTAAGTCAAGGCATATCTGTACTTTATCATGAACGAGGAAGCCAATCTCAGATATATTTCTGAAACATGGGTGAGAAGCATGAAAAGATCTGGTTTACCTCTTCCAGTTTTAAGCGGATTACTATTAAATTACTTCATTGTCTATACATCCTATTTGAACTGGGACAGAATGGAGATAGTATTGCCCACCTTGATCCTAGCAAAATCCCTGACTAATTTAACCAGGTGGATTTTAAGGTGATGCTGTAAATTTCATGCTCAGATTGTCCTAGCTAAGCCAGATCATGGTTAAAGTTCTCCCCTATGACAAGTATGAGATTCATTCAAGCTGTCCCTGGATCAAAGTGTAGGGCTTTGTGTACCTCCATGCCAGTCTCTTTGTGCTTGGATGTGAGATGATAGCTAGGATTATCACTGAACAAACATCTTGGGAAGTTAGGTCTCATAGTGTTTATCTTCTCTTGCAGGGATTAAGACTCATTATAGGACTCTCCCCACCCCACCCCCCAAAAACGACTCACAGAATTCAATGGTTTCTTAAACGTTTATTTAGATCAAGGTCCTTAAAGTCTTCAACTCATCAATCCCTTCACAAAATTTTAGATTTCACTCATGTAGTGTCTGCATTTTGTTTTGAAAGTGAACACCATCATA